CTCATCAGTGAGTCACAGGAGATGGGCACTACTGTCCCTGCCCCTCCTGGCTCACCATGGAAAAACAGCCCTGGGATTCTCTACTTAATAGCAAACTGAAAGCATTAAAGCAGAATACTTCTAGAATTTTACTTGTGCTTCTCATATCCCTGGGATATACAGGCTAAACCTCCCCCGGATTTCCAAGCAGAGGCATTTGTGTGGGATCATGCAGGAAATCATGATTCCAGCTGACTTTACATTGTCAGGGGAGAAGTTGGCTCAGGGAGAAGCCATATGCTCTGGTTTGGTTACTGGAAGGAATGATGGGGCAGCCTGAGACACAGAACTTGCATCCACTGCAGTTAAAGTGAAACTAGTCTCTCAGCCACAGACTTGGTGGGGTTGTTGGCTAGGAAGACAGAAAGGAACTTCCTGCAGCAGCTTGCCCCATGCTCTGGGCTCTCTGAGAACTTTTCTCTACTTAATACTCTGAGGTGCAGGTGAGATTTGTTCAGATTTGGAATGAAGTGTGTGGTCATCCAACCCCAAGGAAGTCTCATTTCCTGGCAGCTTGCAGCTACTGTCATCCTTTACATCTGGTCCATTTCGTCATCTGTATTTGTGACAATCAACAAACATAGACAAGCTCTCAGGACATCAAAAGGGGACCAGTGCCCTCTGTTTACCCTCCAGCTGACTGATGCATCTTATGGGGTGGAAAAACATCAGAGAGGAAAGAGCTTCTTAATGCCTCTCAAAACAATCAGACTTCCAGATTCCAGCACCACGGAGACAGAGCCAAGAGAGCCTCTCACCCCAGGCTCTCCTTTCTTGAACACAGGACAGCCAAGATTCCTGGTCTGGGACAGAGCCGAGGGGGATGCATGGGGAAAGGGGCCAAGAGGCTGCTTCTAGGTATATACACAACCCCAGGGTTTAGGCTGCTGATTTATTGGAGGAAAAGAGAATGAGAATGCTCCTTTGGGGATGATGAGACAGGCATAGCAACCAAAAGAGTCCTGTGAGGCAGATGCATATGTTCCTTCCCCACACAAATCTGGCTTCCATCCTAACCATCTGCGGAAACCTTATCTCAGGTTACTAATGGTAAATCCCATGGCCAGTTCCCTGTTCTCATGGTTCTCGGCCATGCATGGTTCTCGGTCAGGTCATGCTAATGCATTTGATATACCTGACCCTTCCTTCTTGAAACCCTAGTTGAGGTTAATGTAAAATTGGGGTGCAGTGATAGATCTGATCTGTGTCACTTGTCAAAATACTGAAATGCTTCTGTTCTGGTTGGTAAATATTTGCTGCCCTGAGCTCCCCAGGTGTCCTACATTCCCAGGACCATGTAGACTGCCCCAGGATCCAGCCATCACAGAGTTAGCAGTAAGGCCATTCTGATTGGTGGGTGCCCATGCACACCTCGTATTTTGAATACTGCCTCCTCACCCTAGACACCATACTATTTTGGTTGTCCTAATTGTCTTTCAAAAAAGAGATCTTCACTAATTCCTTTTCTTCTCATTCAACAAGTATTTATATAACACTTACAGTAGACCAAGATCTGGGTCAAACTGCCATCAGACCTCATCACCTAGTTGGAAAGCCCATACAAAGAAACAGAGATCCTGGGTGGAAAGTTAAGTGTCAAGGGCAACAGAAAGATACCCCCATGCCTTGCTTCTTTCTCCCTCGCACAGCTCATTCGTGCTCACGTTCATTAGCTCCCTCCAGAGTTGTTCTTTCATGAGACCCTTAGATCATTCCCTCTTACTGCCTACTCTGTATATTTCCTCTTGAATGCACCACTCTCCCCCTGCCACTTCCAAAAGAGAACATGTCTTCATTAGGTGTCATCCTTATTTCCCTAGGGTAGCAAACCTTCACTCCTCTTTTGTGTTTCAGAATGTCCCAAAGTCCAGCCTGCCTGCTCATTCCATCTTCTCCCTGGCTTCCCAAGCATGCCCCAGTGCTCCTGTCCCACCAGTCTGTCTTCTTACTGGGCAGGGCCCACCTTCTTTTTTCCTCCATGTTGCCTTGAACACGTTCCCTTGCCCAATACTTAAATCTAACAAAATCTTTATGGGCCTCCAAATTCTGCCTCGTTATAGCAGTTCCTGAGTCCTCTGGCTTTCATTGCCCTCTTCTAAATTTCTCCAGTTTCTGTTTGTTTCATAGCATTTACCACTGTAGCTCAAATTTAGTCCATAAGCCAATCTTACATTGTGACTTTTGTTAAGCATGCATTAGGCACTCCCTGAACTGATGTTGTCTTTTTTGTCTTGAACAATCGCAATCTTCTATTGGTATTTGGTTAATTGAGTTTATATATTTTATCTGCTGGGAAGATAAAATATATATTTTATATTTATATATATATTATATATAATATATTATAATTTATATTATATTATATATATAAATATATAAAAGGAAGGGAAGGGATTATTTTTTATACTTGTATATTCCCAACGGCACCTCACACAGAGCACTGTGTACAGCTTGTTAATTAATCTTATTGATTAGTTTCAAATCCATCAGTGCTGGCTCAGATGAGCTAAATAAAAATCATAGGCAAAAGGTCATTTCTCATATCTCAAAACAGCTAAATAAAAATGGACGTATTTCCAGGCATTGTACAACTTCTGAGTACAAAACACCAGGCACAGATGGGAAACAAACAGAAGTAGGGCCTCCACTTATATGGGGCTAGCAAACACAGTGGGAGGAGAGAGGTCAGGCCGAGCAGGCTGTGTGGACCTGAGGGTGACCGCCTGCTTATTTTCATGGTTGGTGTTGTCACTGAGGAGGCTGAGCACTAACACCCGTCAGTGTGCGCGGCTTCTTCTGGAAAGGGAAGGGGGGTCAGCTCCCCTTCTGGTTCCATACCCACCTTTTACAGATTGTACCCTAACAGCAGTTATATGTTGGAGAGTGTTTTAGAGTTTTACCACACTTGCAAACAAGTGAGGCCATGTAAGCAGCCTTGCAGATGAGTTGAGGACATGGTATTATTATTAATACATTAATGATTTATGTATTATATTATTATTCATTTAGTATTACTCAGCAGAGTTAAGTTCACTTTAAAATAACAGAAGACATTTGTTGAGCACTTTTTCTGGGATTTGCACTGTGCCGAATGCTTCACAGGTGCAATTTCATTTAATCCTTGCCATAGTCTTTCAAAGTGGGTGCTACTATTATCACCATTTCGCAGAGGAGAGAACTAAGGCTTAGAAAAGTAACTTGACCAAGGTCCCACAGCTCTCAGGATTCACTGGAATTTGAACCTGTATTCTGTCTTATTTCAAATGCTTTGCTTTTAGCTCCTATGATACACCATCTCGTGAGCTCTTTGCCTGGAACCTGGGAGCAGCCACAGGAGCGGCCTCAGCCCCGTTCTCTCGCGCTGGCCCCGCAGAAGGGGATGAGAGATGACGTCTCCCTCTAAGATTGCTGCCTTTTGTCCAAATGTGCTGGCTGGGAGCCAGGCCTGGAAACTCTCTGCTCATGGAAAGAAAGAACAGAAAGAAGCCAGCAAAAGAGGGTGGGAAGGAGTGTGAGGGGGAGGAACGGAAGAGGGGGACAGGAAGGCAAGAGGGAGAAAGGAGCTGGGAAAGTGAGGAGTTTGGGGTAGCACAGCTGGAGCAAGAGATGGCGTGCCAGGAAGCCAATGAACGTGACCTTCAGGTGCATTCCATTCCAGCGCTGTTTAGTGGTGTAGTGTGAGCAGCCAGCCAGGGGAGCACAGGCCTTGGGGGCTCTTCAGGTGCTCAGAGACCAGGAAGTATCCCACAGGGTGGCCCTTCCTCCCCTCCTCAGTATTACTGTTCCGTGAGGTCAGGTGAAAATGAACATCAGGAAAACCTTCAGAGGGAAAAGCAGTCACCAAATGGCAGCCTGAGGGCTGCCTCTGAAGTGGAGAAGCCTGGCCAGGCAGGGCCTTGTTGGGGAGAGGGGACTGGGTGCTGCATACTTTGAATAAAAACAAACCATAACAGTTTACTGAGTCCCTACTCTGGATCCAGGAGTGGAAGGCCTGTTCCCCGTCCCCACGGTACAGGTAGCCTTGGGAAAACTTAATCCCTCTGGCCTCCTTTTCTACATCTGTGAAGGGGAGGCCACAGTAGGGTTAGTGAAAACAATCTTTGTAGAGCGAAATGAAACAATCTGTGCAGAATCTTGACTAGCAAATAGTGAGTGCTAAATTAATGTTAGCCATGTAGTCATTGTTGCAGTTTAATCTGAGGTATCAAAACATAAATATGTGAAACCTTGAGCAAAATATATATAAATAACACTTGAAACCAACCATAAAAGAGATAACACAAGGTTATGTACATTTAGTTAGATAAGTTAATAATTGCTATAGAAATTCAGAGGAGGGGTAAAGAACTTCAGTTTGGGGTGGCCAGCATAGGTTTAATGGAAAAGTTGGGATTTAAGCTAAAGGCAATAACAACTGAGAGTATGAACAAAAGGTCAGGGTTGGGAAAATTCTAATTCACTAAAGCCCAGGAATAATTTTGCCAATAGGACATTCAAGCTATTCTCATGTCCATGATATACACTTGTAGATAATATTTCATATATATATTTCAGCTGCAAAAAACATTGATCTCCATCCAGGATGCCACATCAGACAAAGAGGCATCTGGATGTGAAATAACAGAGCTCCCTCCTCAGTCTTGGGTGGGTTTTTTTTTTGTTGTTTTTTTTTTGAGACAGAGTTTCGCTTTGTTGCCCAGGCTAGAGTGAGTGCCGTAGCATCAGCTTAGCTCACAGCAACCTCAAACTCCTGGGCTCAAGCAGTCCTTCTGCCTCAGCCTCCCGAGTAGCTGGGACTACAGGCATGCGCCACCATGCCCGGCTAATTTTTTATGTATATATTAGTTGGTCAATTAATTTCTTTCTATTTATAGTAGAGACGGGGTCTCACTCTTGCTCAGGCTGGTTTCGAACTCCTGACCTCATGCAATCTGCCCGCCCCAGCCTCCCAGAGAGCTAGGATTACAGGCGTGAGCCACCGCGCCAGGCCTTGGGTGGGTTTTTTGGTGGGTCTCCATTCTCTGTGACTCTGATTGCCTGAGTACATCCTCTCCTGTTTCTTTGCTTTCCAGACCCTCTCTTGGATTCTCTGTCTCTACTCTCTTTCTCTCTGTCTCACCCTCAGCCTCCAGTTCATTTCCTTTAACTTGCTAACACTAACTCTCTTTTCCTCCCTGCTGCAGATTAGGCAGAAGCTCTGAACACTACATTAATTTCTTTACAAAAGAAGAGAAGAAAAAGCATTCAGTAGGAGCCCATGGCAAAGGTTACCTGGTCGCAATAGGGCAAATGTTTTTGTTTTTTGTTGTTTTTATAAAAAACCTCTCAACATCCTAATAATAACAAAGAACCTTTCTCCCTTCTAAAAAGCAAAACACTAATTCTAGAAATCTCTCTGGGTTTCTGAAGAGGTGGGCTCTTCAGCTGACATAAATTAATAAATGGAAAAGAAAGAAGCCCCTTAAAGAATACATAACTAGCAGTCGCCGGCTCTCCTGGGACAGCTTCTCCATGGAAATGTGAGTCGTCAGGGGCGGGAGAAAGGAGTGCGGAGGAGGTAACTGAGCCTCAGTGGGATAACAGGAGCCCTGGGTTATGTTGCTGCCTCTGCCACCATACAGCCAGGTGAATGAGGCTAGGTGAGCCACAAAACCCCTGGGCCACTGTGTTGTCATTTTCAGCCCTGACTTTCCTACCTATCATTTGCCTGTGTTCATGTTCATAGTCTCTATGCCGGGGGCTTTTCCAACTCATCATGTGTTTTTATGTGTTTTTTTGTTTGTTTGTTTTGCCTTCTTTGGATTTCCTCTGGACTGGACTGGACTGGAACCTCTAAGAAGCACTGTCATTTATAGGCTGTGTTCCCAGTGACCCACTGGGTCACGAGGAGAGAGCTGCTGGGGCCAGGAGGAGGACGTGGAAGGCTGGGTCAGCCAGTGCAGTCGTCACTCCCAACAGGGTCCTGGGAGAAGGGGCTCAGCATTTCCTGAAGGCACATGACTCCCAAAAATAGACAGAGGGATGGGAAGAGGATTTGGTCATCCCTTTCCTCCTGTCAACTCAGCTCTTCCTTCTGGTTGTCCAAACTATGCAGCCTCTTGTAAATGTTTTTCATTCAAATGTGTCCCTGCCACTGGAGGGTGGGGGTGGGGATGTGAGCTCTGTTTTCTCCTATGTTGTAAATCCAAACAAGAACTGAAAAAGACATACATGGCTTTTGTTTGTTCATTTACCCACAGTAACCTCTCATGAGTCCGTCTCAATATAAGGCCAGAGTTTTTTCAGTGAGGTTTTTTGTTGTTTTTTTTTGACATTTGGATCTTTTTTAATAAAACAAACATTTATAGGAGTTCATTTACATAAGAATCACATTCATTCCTTAGTCAATCTTAGTATCGATACAAACCCATGAAGGTGCATCTTAATTGTAGTCAGAGAAACACAAAGGATGATTATAATTTCAAGTGGAAAATAAGAGCTCTGTTACATATCAGAAGCACTTCTGGTTAACATTAACAGCATTTTCTATCTCTCTGGAATCTTAACAGTTGGGAAGTTTCAACTGATTTGTATTATGCCATTCAGTGAGGTTTTATTGGGAAAGAAGTAAGGAGGGATATTGTACACCTTCTGATACCATGACGTATTTAACTTCATGCAAGGGTTCACCATATCTTCCCGCTGTAATGCTTATAGTATGCTCTTTACGTCCTCAGAAAGGTTAGGTCTCATGACATCAGCCTGACTAAGACTTCAGATGTTCTTAGCACTTGTAGTGACAGGAAGACTCTCCTTAAGGAGAGAAAGGGACTTCTTGAAAGCTACTCTTGTGCTATCCATAGTGTAGAGCTGCAATCCCCAACCCCCAGCCTGGGGACTGGGTAGCAGTCTTGTCTGGCTGCACAGCGGGAGACGGTGGGCGAGCCAGGGAAGCTTCATCTGTATTTACAGCCCCTCCCCATTGCTTGCATCACCGCATAAGGTCCGCCTCCTGTCAGATCAGGGGCGGCATTAGATTCTCATGGGAGCGTGAACCGTAAGGTGAACTGCCCATGCGAGGGATCTAGGTTTCGAGCTCCTTATGAGAATCTAATGCCTGATGATCTGAGGCGGAGCTAAGGCGGTGATGCTTGCGCTGGGGAGTGGCTGCAGATACAAATTATCATTAGCAGAGAGGTCGGAATGCACAATAAATGTAATGCACTTGAAGTATCCCAAAACCATGCTATCCTCCCAATTCCCCCACTTCTTCCTCCCACCCCCCAAATTGTCTTCCATGAAACTGGTCCCTGGTGCCAAAAAGGTTGGGGACCACTGCTGTAGAGAACGATCAGATCATACCCAACCTCCTGTGCTAGGTTGGAGGCCAAATAAATGAAGGCTTTAGTTTTTTCAGTGGCTGAAATTTGTTCAGCTTCAGCCGTATGCAGATTCATGTTTAAAATGGTCACATAATGCTATGAGACACATACATCCTTCCTTTTTCACTTTGGGAAAGTCATTCAATATGGATTGAACATGGCACTATGTGTTAGTGGTAATTCTTCCGGTTGCATAAGCAAACTAGAGTAGGAGGGTATCTTGTGGAACCCTTGGGCAGGAAGGCAGCCTGGCCTCAGGAGTGGAATAGATGGGGGGGGGGTGCAAAGCCATTTTTCTTCTGGCATCATTCTTCTCCACCAGGTGCTCTCTGGCCCTTAGTCCACAAGCCCGGTGTTTTTGCATCCGGGTCACACAGAGATTGACGCAACTCCCCTGGAAGGAATCTGACTGGCTCAACTTGAGTTAGGCATTCCTTGGAGCCAATCAGATGTGACCTGGGGGGTGGGTCCATAGTTCACTCACGGCTGCCGGTGTCCTGCTGACCCGTGGACGAGGGAAGGGGCAGTTTGCAGAAAATCGTGACTCTTAGGTAGGCAAGCTCCGCAGTGTGCCTGCTGTGTCTACTACCTGTGTTTTATTTAACCATTTTGTATCCATTTGCCTTAACCAATATACTCTTAAGAACCCGGGTCCTGAGGTTCACTCGCTAAATTTACATAGCTGTTGTTTGTGAAGGAAGAAGTGGTGTAATACAGTCCGTCTTTGAGGCTACACACATCTCTTTTTAAATCTCAGTGATACTATTTATCAGCTACATGCCTCAGTTTCCTCATCTGTAAAATGAAGTTGACTTCCTATTATGTGCTCAGTACGCTGTGCTAGGTGCTAGGTGGATGTTTGCATGCTTGCCTTTGTTTCTTTCAACAGCTTTATCGAGATGTAATTCACATACCATAAAAATTCATACATTCAACGTGTCAATTTAATGCTTTTTTGTTTTTGTATATTCACGGAGCTGTATAACCACTACCACAATTTTAGAACATTTTCATCATCCCAGAAAAGAAACCCATACTCAGGCCGGGCGCTGTGGCTCACGCCTGTAATCCTAGCTCTTGGGAGGCCGAGGCGGGCGGATTGCTCAAAGGTCAGGAGTTCGAAACCAGCCTGAGCAAGAGCGAGACCCCGTCTCTACTATAAATAGAAAGAAATTAATTGGCCAACTGATATATATATAAAAAATTAGCCGGGCATAGTGGCGCATGCCTGTAGTCCCAGCTACTCGGGAGGCTGAGGCAGAAGGATCACTGGAGCCCAGGAGTTTGAGGTTGCTGTGAGCTAGGCTGATGCCATGGCACTCACTGTAGCCTGGACAACAAAGCGAGACTCTGTCTCAAAAAAAAAAAAAAAAAAAAGGGCAGTAAAGAGTAGATGTATAGGAATCACACAGGGGAAAACTTCTGGGAAAAAAAAACCCAAAAAAAAAAGAAACCCATACTCCTTAGCCATCAGTCCCCACCACCCCATCTCCTTAGCCCTGAGTAACCACTAGGCTACTTTTTGTCTCTATGGATTGGGCTATTCTGGACATTTCATATAAAGGGAATCATATAATATGTGGCCTTTAATATGTGGTTTTGAGGTTAATCCATGTTGTGGCATGTATCTGTTCTTCATTCCTTTTATGGCTGAATAATTTTCCATTGTATGGATATACTGCATTTTGTTTGTTCATCAGTTGATGGCCATTTGGGTTGTTTCTGCTTTCTGGCTGTTATTAATAATGCCACTGTGAGCATTCCCGTAGAAGAACATACGTGGACATACATTTTCATTTCTCTCGGGAGATGCATTATTTCTTTGATTAATTATGTTTGTAAAGTGCTTAATGTAGTGCCTGACAGAGTGTAACAAAGTGTTAATTTTCTTACTCTGACCTTCCTGGAAGGTTATGAATGAAAGTTATTTCCTGCTTACTGCCCTTAGAAGAAAGACAGGCTCCCCCAAAGAGCCTGACCGCTTTGGGTCAGATTCTGAGGTTATTGTCCCCAGGGGGTCTGACATCATTGAGTAGAAGATTCTTGCATCAGGCTTGAGAGAGGTGACAATCCCAGGTGGTTCTGGTTACAGGTACTGGGAGAGCAGATAACAAGATTTAAGGGGTGAAATATAGAATCTGGAGTAGAAGTACATGAATTGGATTCCCAATTCTGCTACTTAAACACTGGGATAGTAGGCAAGTCTCTGACCCTTGATCTTTTCACCTTCAAAATGAGAATAACAGTAATTACATCTGGAAAATGCCCTTTTGAAACTGATTCTGGCCTGCTAAACTAATTCTGGGTTTTCTAGCTCTGTGAGAGATCCAGGCCGTTCTCAGAAGTTCACCAGAACTGCATACACATCCAGATTTGCAGGGTGTTTTTTTTTTTGTTTTTTTTTTTTTTGAGACAGCGTCTTGCTCTGTCACCTGGGCTAGAGTGCCGTAGCATTAGCCTCGTTCACTGCAACCTCAAACTCCTGGGCTCAAGTGATCCTCCTGCCTCAGCCTCCCCAGTAGCTGGGACTACAGGTGCACACCACCATGCCCAGCTAATTTTTTCTCTATTTTTAGTAGAGGCTGGGTTTCTTCTTGCTCAGGCTGGTCTCTAACTCCTGGTCTCAAACGATCCTCCTGCCTACCAGAATGCTCGGATTACAGGTGTGAGCCACTGTGCCCAGCCAGCAGGATGATCTTATTTGAACACTATTCAGTTGGGCTATTCAGTTACTCCAGCACCATTTATTTAAAAATCCTTCTTTGCCCTAGTGATTTAAGATGCCACCTTTATCATATATTAAATTCTTTGTGTACTTGGGTCTGTGTCTCAGCTTTCTATTCTGTTCCACTGGTTTGTTTATTCTTGTGGCAGTACCACATTGTTTTAATTATAGAGGCTTTATAGTATGTTTTAATATCTAATAGGGCTAGTTTCCCCCACAACCTCCCTCCCCTACACCTTTTTTTATTTGTCAGTGTTTTTTCTACCTATTCTTGCATGCTTGGTAATCTGGCTTTAAAGTATTCAGTGTCCTCCCGGAAGGTCCCAGCAGAGGGTCAGGGGCAGGATGGGGATTGAGTTGTCTCTTGGACCTAGGTGTGCTTACTTCATAAACTGGTTTTGTAAGATTCTGTTTTCTTTTATATTCATGAGCAGTGAAGGCTCATTTATCCTGAACCTCCAAAAGAGCATTTTAAAATAATTTGAGAGAGAGAAAATGTTAGAACTTAGTGAATTTAGGTAAAGAGTACAAGGGTTTTCAGTCCAATTAGCTGTGTAAAAAAAAAAAAAAAAAAAGAGTACAAGGGTTTACTGAGTTTTCGGTACTATTCTTGCAACTGTTCTGTAAGCTTGAAATAAAGGTCATTATGCTTCTGTTATCATGTTGGCAAAAGCTCAGAAAGTCAACCAAGGTGTGTTCACAGATTCTGCCTTGGTTCACCTGTTGCCTGACCCCTGCGAAGAAATACTGGAAATCAGTAAGGCGTTTCCTTACAGACTAGAATCAATCAGTCATTTCAAATCAATCAATCATTTCCTTACAGACTAGATCATTCAGACTAGAATCAATCAGTGATCAGTCATTCGGTGGTTTGTGCTTCCTAAAATGCCAGTCATCCTGAGATTATGCAAACATCCTTTCACTCACATACCCCAAAGGAAATCTGACCCAATCTTCAAGCCCAGCCTTTACATAAAGTGATCTCACCTTCACCTGTTTTGCTTATCATATTGTGTTTTGTCTTGGAGACATTCTTGTGCATCTTATTTCCTGTATGAGAATGAAAACTCTTGGAGGACAAATATATCTATTTATTTTATGTTTCTCCCAAGCTTCACTCAGTTCCCTATGAGAAGTAGGCACAACTATGAGTCGAAGAATGAATTACATGACTATGGTCAGCCCTTGGCATCTGTTGGTTGCACATGTGAGGATTCAGCTAATTACAGATTGAAAATATTTGGGAAAGGCCAAGCGTGGTGGCTTGCGCCTGTAATCTTAGCACTCTGGGAGGCCGAGGTGGGAAGATTGCTCAAGGTCAAGAGTTTGAAACCAGCCTGAGCAAGAGCGAGACCCCATCTCTACTAAAAACAGAAAGAAATTAATTGGCCAACTAAAAATATAGAGAAAAAATTAGCCGGGCATGGTGGTGCATGCCTGTAGTCCCAGCTACTCGGGAGGCTGAGGCAGAAGGATCGCTTGAGCCCAGGCATTTTAGGTTGCTGTGAGGTAGGCTAACGCCACAGTACTCTAGCCGGGGCAACAGAGTGAGACTCTGTCTGAAAAAAAAAAAAAAAAAAGATTAAAAAAAATAAAGAAAAAATTAATAAAAAAATATTCCAGAAAATGTTACATTTTTGCTAACATGTACTATGTAGTTAGACCTAGGATGGTTATGTCTGTACCAAACATGCATAGACTAGACTTCTTTTTCTTGTCATTCTTGTTAAACAATACAGTATAATAGCTATTTACATAGACTTTACATTTCACTAAGTGTTTTAAGTAATCTATAGATGATTTAAAGTATACGGGAGGCTGTGCACAGGTTATATAGAAATACTATGCCATTTTAAGTGAGAGACTTGAGCATCCATGAATTTTGGTATCCGAGTGGGATCCTGGAACAAATCCTTCATGAATACTGAGGGACGACTGTATCCCTGTTAGCTGTTGGTTTCTATGTAATCTCTCTTTGGGCCCTTTGAAACATCTGTACTGGGAAGTGGTTACTGTAGACCAGGATCTAAATCTTGGTGGTCACTAAGGCAAGGGAAGTAATGAGAATAAAATATCACTTAGCCTTCCTTTCAGGAGCTACTTTGGCAAAGCAAAACAAGTTGTAGAGTGATGCACTCAGCTGAGCCAAATGCCTTGCACTAGGTCCAGGTTGCATGGCAACTCTGGGGTTTGCTGGGCTCCACAGGGCAGACCCAGACAACAACAGTTTATAAGCTCCCCTTATTTGTAATAGCAATAATAATACATGATTATTATAGGAAATTTAGAAATCTGGGAGAGTTTTTGTTGTTGAAAATATAGATAAATTGAGAGAATGGAAAAATTCAAAGTTTCTTACACAACGAGAACTACTATTAATCCTTTGTTATATTTACTTCCAATCATTTTCTTATATGTAGTTTTGAATAGGAATGAATAAATTCCTTGCCTCCTTTTAAAAACATTATTTTATTCACGTGGACACACGCTTTTGGATTCTCTTTCTTTTGGCTAACTGTACAATGTGAGCATTTTTTCCATTTAGTAATAGGCTTTTTTTTTAGCTTGACTCTTTACTTTTTTTCTAACAGCTTGATGGAGATATAATTCACATGCCATAAAACCCCCCATTTAAAGCATGCAGTTTAATGGTTTTTAATATAGTCGTGGAGTTGTACAACTGTCATCGCAATCAATTTAGAACATTTTCATCACCCCAGAAAGAACCCACTAGCAGTCACTCCCCACTCTTGCTACCTACTGACTCCCAGCCTAGACAACCACTAATGTACTTTCTGTTTCTGTAGAAGCACAGTTTTCATAGAC